GATAAGATTCTTATGATTCAATAATGAGTAATTGTTACCAGGACTAATTGCAACTGTAAAGGTAGAAGTTGTGTAACAAAAAAGGGGGAGTAGTTAACCTTACAGTTCAGAAACAGAGAACCCTAAGACCATCAAGGGAGAAGAGCACTAGTGGAATGCGGACCCTTATCAAGAGAAGCAGCGACACCAGAGATGGAGGCAGAGATGGGGTCGTGGAGAGAGGGAGCATCTGAGGACTCTAGATTCATGGGAAGAGAGGGACTGACAGCTGGCGACCAGAAGGCAGACTTGCAGAATATGCCTTTGGTGGTTTAAATTATTATATATGCCCGACTGTTTTTAAAAAAACTAAAATGAGTAAACAGAGAAATACTGTTAACTGATGGTACATGGAGGGGATTATAATCATTATAATGAAACAAGTAGTATGATTTGTTGAATGTAAAACTGATGATCTGCCCTGTAAACTCTCACTCAATTCATAATAAAAACATTAAAAAACAAAAGAAATGGTCAATGTTCAACCATTTCAAGAGGTAGCATATAATCAAGAGCCAATGATTCGGAAGGAAGGAAGAAATTTGCAAAGAACAAAGAACAAGGCATTGGGAATTAATGGTATACAAATTGAAATCTTTCAACAAACTGATGCAGCATTGGAGGCACTCACTCATCTATGCCAAGAAATTTGGAAGACAGCTACCTGGTCAATCTTCTGGAAGAGATCTGTATTTGTGCCCATTCCAAAAAATGGTGACCCAGAAACCATCGGATAATATCACTGATATTCCACATGAGTAAAATTTTACTAATGATAATGCATAAATGGCTGCAACCATTGACAAAGAACTTCCAGCGGTTCAAACCAGATTCAGAAGAGGACGTGGGACAAGGAATATCACTGCTGACATCAGATGGATCTTGGCTGAAAGCAGAGAATACCAGAAAGGTGTTTACCTGTGCTTTATTGGTTACACAAAGACAAACTATGTACAACATTAAAAGTATGAGTATCCTGGGAACACTTAATTGTGCTCATGAGGAACCTGTACATAGACCAAGAATCAGTTGTTCAAACAGAGGAAGGGAGCACTAAATGGTTTAAAATTAGGAAAGGTGTGCACCAGGGTTGTATTCTTTCACCATATTTATTCAATCTGTACGCTGAACAAATAATCTGAGAAACTGGATTATATAAAGAAAAACATGGCATCAGAATAGAAAGAAAACTCATTAACAACGTGCGATATGTAAATGATATAACCTTGCTTGCTGAAAGTGAAAAGGACTTAAAATATTTACTGATGGAGATCAAAGAGCACAGCCTTTGGTATGGAATACATCTCAATATAAGAAAACAAAAATTTCTTCACCATTGGACCAATGAACAACAACGATATAAATGGAGAAAAGATTAAAGTTGTCAAAGACTTCATTTTGCTCAGATCAACCATTAACACTCACGGAAGCAGCAGTCAAGAAATCAAACGAAGTATTGTATGGGGCAATATGCTGCACATCTAGACCTCTTTAAAGTGTTGAAGAGCAAAGATGTCAGTGTGAGGACTAAGGTGTGCCTGATTCAAACCATGGTATTTTCAAGAACCCCATATTCATGTGAAAGTTGAACAGTGAATAAGGAAGAACATAGAAGAATTGGTGCATTTGAGTTATGGTATTGGAGAAGAATATTACAAGTACCATGGACTACCAAAAGAACCAACAGATCTGTGTTGGAAGAAGAGCAGTCAGAGTGCTCCTTGCAGGCCAGGATGGCCAGACTTTGTCTCTCATACTTTGGATATATTGTCAGGAGGGACCAGTCACTGAAGAAATGTGTCATGTTTGCTAAAGCGGAGGGTTTGAGAAAAAAAAGGAAGACCTCCAGAAAGATGGATTGGCACAGTGGCAGCAGCAATGGGCCCAGGTGTAGCAACAGTTGTGAGGTTGGTCCAGGACTGGGCAGTGTTTCATTCTGTTGTACATAGGGTCACTGTGAGTCAGTGCCAACTAGATGGCACCTAACAACAACAGCAATAATGCTCATTACAGCACTAGCAAAAAGATGGAGACAGCCTAGATGCCCATCATCAGAAGAATAATTAAACACGCCTTGGTACATACACACAATGGAATACTAATCAACAGTCAGGATTAGCTATGATTCTACAAAACACCTCACAACATGGATGTATCTAGAGGACATTGTGCTAAGTGGAATTAGTCAATCACAAAAGAACAGATATTGTATGAGACCACTCTTGTAAAAAGTTAATGTTTACTTGATAAAAGAAGCATTCTATGATGGGAGGGAAAATGATTCACAGACTAGAGAATAGATGCATATTAACATGGGTGACAGGGCAGGCAATATACAACAAGAGGGAGTTGGCAGAGGAAAGATGAAGGTAGCAGGAGACATAGGGAGGAATGCAAGAGTTAAAATGAACAGTGGTAAATGTGAAGCAAAGTATATGATTTATTTAACGTAAAACTGAAGGTTTGCTTTGTAAACTTTCACCCAAATTCATAATAAAACGTTTTAAAAATTAAAAGTATCTGCTCTTTTGAAGATATTTAAAGAAAATGAAATTACAAGCTATAGACTGGGAGAAAATATATGCAAGACACATATGTATATCCAGATTTGAAAAAGAATTCTTAAAACTCTAATAATAATAATAAACAGCTCATCTTTTAAAAAACAAATGGGCAACTGATTGGAATAGACACTTCATCAAAAATAAAAAGATAACAGATAAAAACATAAAAAGATGCTCAACATCACTAATTATTGTTGCTGTTAATCGTCATCAAGTCAGTTCTGACTCACAGCAACCCTGTATAAGGTTTCCGAGGAGCAGCTGGTGGGTTTGAACTGCTGATCTTGTGGTTTGAAGTCCAGTGCTGATCCTACAGCACCACACCAGGAACCACTAACCATTAGAAAGGTGCAAATGAAACCAACACACACTACTACACTTCTATCACTGTTGTTGTTGTTAAGTGCCATCGAGCTGGTTCTGACCCATAGCGACCCTGTATAGGGTTTCCAAGTAGTGACTGGGGAGCCTGAACTACCGGCCTTACAAACCAACTTTGCAGCCCAGTGCATTATACCAGGGTGCCACACCAGGACTACACACCTGTTAGAATGACTAAAATTTAAACAAAGCAAAACAAGTAAACCCTGGCAATGCCAAGCATTGGTAAGGGTGCCAACCTAGTGCTGTCGAGTCAATTCTGAGTCATAGAGACAATGCAGGACAGAGTAGAACTGCCCCATAGGGTTCCCAAGGATGTAATTATTATGGAAGTCAACAGTTACATCTTTCTCCCGCAGCGGCAGGTAGGTTGCAAGCACCCGTTGAGCTTTCCGTTAGCAGCTGAGCACCTAACCACTGTACCACCAGGGATCCTTTGAAAAAGCAGAACAATTGGATTTTTCATATATGGCTGGTCGAAAGGCAAACCAATAGAACCATTTTGGAAGACAATTTGGCATTTCTTATAACGTTAAACATATGCTTATCATATGATTCAGCAATGCCAATCCTAGGTATATACTCAAGAGAAGTGAAAAGTTAGATTCACATGCCTGCAAAAACACAAACCAGTTGGCCTTGAGACAATCTCCATGTATTTCAGAGTAGAACTGTGCACAGGGTTGTTCATAGCTGTATCACCATGCCTTTCTTCTGAGGCAGTAATCATTTGGGCACCCCAGGGACTCCCACACATGCCTGTTTGCAAGTGTTTATAGAAGCCTTACTTATATAATTGCCCCAAATTGGTATCAACCCAAACATCCTTCAATCAGCAAATCCATAAACAAGCTGTGGCACACCCATGCCAAGCATTCTACTCAGCAATGAAAAGGAATGAACTACCCACTACAGAAGGAGCTCTGGTAGTATAGTGGTTACGAATCGGGCTGCGAACCTTAAGGTCAGCAGTTCGAAACTACCTGCTGTTCCGCGGGAGAAATATGAGGTGTTCTACTTCCATAAAGATTTACAGCCTCAGAAACCCTGTACAGAGTCACTGTGAGTCCGAACCGACTCCACAGCAGGCACATAACCAACCAACCAACCAACCAACCCACTACAGGCAATGACATGATGAATCTCAAATGCTATGCTAAGTGAAAGAAACCAGATTCAAAATGCTTTCATTCCATTTACATGACATTCTGATAAAGGCAAAACTATCATAAAGAAATCAATGGCTGCCACAAATTAACTACAAAGGGACAGAGGGAATTTTCTGGGATGGCGGAGCTGTTCTAAATCTTGATGATGATGGTAGTTACAGGACTGTGTACATTTGTCAAAACTCATGAGACTGTCATGCACTAAAAAGGGAGGGATTTTACTATAATGTAGATGATACCTCAATAAATTTGGCATCTAAGTCCTATCATGGTTCCCAGATTTCCATTGCACCAAATCTAAATTGCCCACCTGACTTTCAGGATTTTTCTAATCTTGACCAACTTGATTTCCTATGCCATCTTCTGCTCCAATTAGAACTCCTTTCTCACTATCCCCTCAACTTTCTACAAAAGTTCAGACTTCCCTGCCCTTTTGCAAGCTGCACCCCTCAAATGCAATGCCCTCCCCTCTACCTTCTGCACCTCCAAAACCACTAAGTGACAGTCCAACCTCTACCCTCGCTGAGCTCTCAGTTCCTCCTAGGAGCCTGTGCTTACACAATTTGGCATAGGGCCCCCTCTCGGAGAGTTCACAGGTGTCTGGTGGTCTTCTCATGTCATGTTTTTTATCAACATGAGTGCCTTATTCACCGCCTAGGTGGCCTACCAGAAGGAACGAAGCAGGTGCCAAGGGAGCACCAACCAGAGGAAAGGTGAGATTTGACATGAGCCTTAAGAGATGTCAGGCTGCTGTCTTCTACTTCTAAAGATGCCTTCAGGCCATCGCTAGTGATGGGGAGCAAGAATGAGCTGAGTGTCACAGCTTCCCACCCTCACTCCCCCATACCTTGCCCTCGTAGGAGCGCTCAGCGGTGCTCACAGACATCGCCTGAATCAGCAGCAGCAGGAAGAGCGGCACCAGGAAGCCGGTGGCGGGTACAGTCACCACGATGCTGCCAGGCTGTTAAGGAGCTGTGCCACCCATACCTGTCCCTGGTCCCGCTTCCTCACACCCGCCTCTGCCCCCAACGTCTTCACCTACAGTCAGCCCCATCCACTCATTGCCCCTAGAAACCGCACTCCCTTGCAGTTACTACCCATCTATTCCACCTTAGCTCCCATCCCCATCCTAGAGAGGTTCTAAACAATCCAGTCCTTCCTGCCCCTACTCGCCCACCTGCTTAGCCCCACCTAGCCTCACCTCATCCCACATGGGTTCCGACAAATGTCCCTTCGCCCGGCCCCCATTAGCCCCGCCCCCTTTCCCATGGGGCACTGTGGTCCTTGGGGATACGCGATGGCCTTGTCTGTGGAGAAGGGCAGGTGGGTGGTGTGTACCAGGTAGACCAGGCAGGAGACCAGCACGGCTCCGGAGTAGAGGCACAGAGACAGCACGAGCAGCATGAAGAGGCGGAAGTTGCGGTGACCAATGCAGTTATTGACCCATTTGCAGTGGTGGTCAAAGTCCTGGGAGAGAGAAAGAGACCAGGCCTGGAGAACTGTCCTCTGGACCCAAACCTCCAAGACCAGAACCCAGCCCACACCATTGTTTCTGACTCCACAGGACCCTACAGCGCAGAGTACAACAGCTCCACAGGGTTTCCATGGCTGCAAACCTTTACAGATTCAGACCACCACATTTTTCTCCCGCAGAGCAGCTGATGGGTTCAAACCTCACGCTTTTGATTGGTTGTTGTTGTTGTTGTTGTTATGTGCCGTGGAGTCGGTTCCGACTCATAGCGACCCTGTAGTCCAGCTCTTTAACTACAGCACCACCAGGGTTCCTGGCCCAACCCTCAAGCCCCCTGCCCCAATTGTAAGGTTTTCCCCAGGCTCCTTAAGCTACAACTAACCTACCCTTGGCACCATCCACTGGCTCCCACAACCCAAAGAGAAACTGAGCTGCAAAGTCAGTAAAGCTGGCGTTGGTGTGGTTATTACAGCTGGATTAGGGTTCTGTGGCTCACAGGGCCAGCTGTCACCAGGCATTTTAGAGACAAGCTTGTCTGATCTTCTGTGAGACACAGGCTGGTGTAACTTCAGGCAGAACATAGACCATTTCTGGGCCGCCCTGTTCTCATCCATTAGAGAAGCAGGGTAATTAACACCATTGCCCAGCCAGCCTCTCTGGGTTGTAATGACCAGACAAAGGCATCACATTTGTAAGCTTTGTGGGTTCTGACACAGGGACAAGCACTCAGAACCCAGGAGATCACCTAAACCCAAAGGAGGACAAGCAAGCTCCCCAGGCCATCCCATAGCCAGCCCCTCCCCTGTCAGGGATCCTGGGAGCCAGGCAGGGCTGGTGTTCCTCCCCAGGCCTGACCAGCATAGATGAGGATGGCCCTGGGTGTGTCATGGTGGAGAGTTACTGCCACCCTTGGCCTTCAGCAATCCCTGACCATCTTCCACACTGGCCCCTGGCTCCTGGGTGAGTGGGGCTCTTGGTTCTGGCCAGGTGCTGTGGGGGCAGAAGGGGGTGCTCACCTCCACACAGATGTTGCACCAGGGGCAGTGGTAGGTTCGGGGTGGGCGGTGGAAGCAGCACTTTCCGCACCACTGCAGGCGGAAGGCTCTGTGGTTCACCCACACTACATGCACCATCATGGGGCCATGATCGTCGGAGCCTAGAGGGAGGAAAGGATTCCGGCGTGGGGTGGGGGTGCAACAGGCCCTGAGATCATCCACAGTGTTGCCAGTGGGTGGGGGTGGGGGCAGACACAGCATCACTGGGCACCAAGAAGGGAGAAAAGGAGATGGTAGAGGAATCCCTAGCCTTGAGACTGGCCAGCCTCAGAGAGGCTGGCTGGAGAGAAGAAGAGTTAGGGCTCCAGGCAGAGTCGCTGTCTGTAAATGTCTTTTGAGTTGTGGTTGCGGCTTTAAGGACTGCAAGGTTGTATTGAAACACATGGTCAGTGGTTCAAGCTCACCGGCTGCTCCTCGGAAACCCTAAACAGGGTCCCTATGAGTTATTTCCCGACTCCACGGCACTTAACAACTACTAGGAAGGAGGAAGAGATCAGAGAGGGATTGCATAAAGCTGGCATCCCTCCCCAGCCTGCCCCAGCCTCCCCTCTAAAACAGCCAGAAAAGCTCCAGAATTCTATTGTAGCAGCATACCTCAGTGGCTTGGGAAATGAAATGCCAGGAGATGGGCCAGAAGATAAGGGTGTGGGGTGGAGGGCCTTGAGGCTCAGGAAGGGAGATGGGAGGAGTATGCTTGCAATCATGCCTGTCAGCCACTAGCCCTTATAGGGTGCACCCAAGGGTCAAGGCCTCACCTCGATGCAAGATGCCGGGGTCTGAGAAGTTGAGTGAAATGAGACTGAAGAAGGTGAGGACAAAGAGAAGGCTTGTGATGATGGGAAAGGCCCACTCCCCATTTTGGGCCAGCCACCTGCAACTGAGACCAGAACCTGACTCAGCATTGATCTAGAGCCACCTGAAGCTCCCCATGGAATAGTTTACAACCTGTTCTGAATACCCAGGCTGGTGACAGACTCATAAAAGCTCAGCCAAAAGTCACCAGTCTTATGAGGCACCTGCGGCTCCTCAGCTGTACCATATACTCCATACCACTATGTCTTTGCGTATTCTGTTTTCATTACCTAAAACATCCTTGCTCCGGACTCCTGACCCCCTCTTCTGCACTTGCCCTACCCCTGTACTTTAATTATCTGTTTTCCTTTCTGTCTTTCTGTAAGAAAACTGCCAGCTTATGTGGGGGACTCACGGAAATGCAAAGAAGAGGCCACTGAGAAGGATCAACAACACTACATTGAAGGCGGCAAATAAGCTCGGGAGGATCCAGGGAAGTGGGGCCTGTGCTGTGGGCAGGGGCTCCTTCATAAGGAGCATGGCATCCTTCGAGAGCGGCATGATTGGGCCTTCCGTGCCCCCAGGGGAGACCAGAGCCACCCCTGGGCTCCTTGCTCCCTGCTGGCCCCCAGAGCCCCATGGCCACAGAATCCTTGGAAGGCACAGCCCAGAGCAGAAGGAGAGAAGCCCCAGTGTGACATCACAGAAGCTGAGGAGAACACGGGGTGGGGGTGGAGGATCCTCAGCAGAGCTGCTGCAGTCTGCTCTGGCTGCTTGAAGGGACCACCTCGTCCGGCTGTAAGCTCACTCACTTGTTCAGTGCTGGGAACTGAATGCTTTGTCTCTGAGACCATAAGAAATTGAAGGAACACAGGAAGGAGATTGGTGACTCCAACCACCCTTCCAGGCTCAGTGCTAATTGAAATAAACCGTACTCATTGCCCATTCTATCTCCGTGTTTCCCCTTTTCCTTTTGTTACAAAACCCCACTAAAGGGGAGGAAGACAGCCATGTGCTTCACTAAATAATTTCCCTACTTCATTTCCAGGGTTGACTTCAAGACACAACTCTTTTCAATGAGATGTAAATGGACATCTGTTGAAGGTTTCTAGAAAAGCTTTCTGCTCACACAAAGATTTACAGCCTAGAAACCCTAGGCGGGGTCACAACGAAGTGGAACCAACTCCATGACACTTAACAACAACTACAATGCTATGCAAAGGCTGTTATACTGATTAATGTTCGTCACCACTAAAAACAATTCTGATCCTCAGGCACTGAACTCTTAACCAATGACTCTTATTGATATTGTTATTTTCTGAGACTCAGACCCAAATTCAGCTTCTGGCAGTTGCTGATAATTGCTGGTGTTCCTTGTGGTAGCATAATTTCACTCTCTGTCTCTATTGTCACATGGCACTTTCCTGTGTGTCTCTGTTTATGGGTCCAAATTCCCCTCTTTTTATAAAACATCAGTCATATTGGATTCAGGGCCCATCCGAATCCAGTATGATTTTAACTTGACTGCATCTTTAAAGACTCTGTTTCCAAATAAGTTCATACGTTCTGGGCGAACATGAACTTTGGAACAACACTATTTAACAGGCTGTTTTTCAAAATCATAAATAATAACAAAATAAAGACCCTTGAAATATGTTTTTGCTTGTATCTCTATTTCCTTAGAATAGATTCTTAATGATTGGCTTTCAGTTCAACTGATGTGACAATTTAACACATCTTTTATATATTTTGCAAAAATGCTCTTCAGAAAGTTTGTAGAAGTTTACATCCCTGTGATAAACATACCCATAATATAAAACTAAATGATAATTTATATAACTTCCAATTTTATAGGTGACAAATAATACCTTGATCTTTTAATTTATACCTCTTAGACTTACATGAGAAATTAAATATTTTTATAGACCCAGATAGGTTATTTCAGCAGCTAACTAAAAGGTCTGTGGTTCCAATTCACAGTGAACAATGTGTCAGTCCATGTCAGTGAAGACCACAGTCTTGGAAACCCTACTATGTCCTCTAAAGTGACTATGAGTCAGAATGGATTCAGTGGCAGTGGATTTGGTTTTGTTATAGGCTATTTTATTTTAAAAATAATATTTTGTCTTTTCAGTGAAGGTTTATACAGCAGTTTGGGTTTCCACTCTACAATTTCTATACAAGCTGTTCAGTGATATTGATTATATTATTAACAATGCATGAGCATCCTCATTATTTATATTCTGGTTGTTCCATTTCCATTTATCTATTTCCCCTACCCCTTTACTTTCTCATCTTTGCTTCAAAGTAATTATTGACAGTTTTGTGTCTAGTTCTTCATTTCTTTTAAGATTCCTTAACAACAGTATCAATTTGTGAAGCGTATCATGAGGGAGAAATAAACAGACAGAAACAACAGTGACTCCCCTTGGGTTTTCCATTTCAAAGATCTCAATATGTCATTTTACAATTTTCTTTTTTAAAATTATATTTTGTTGTTGAGAATATACATGGCAAAACATACACCAATTCAACAGTTTCTACATGTAAAATTCATGGACAGTGATTACACTCTTTGGGTTGTGGCACTATTCTTACTCTCCGTTTTCAAGTTGTTCCTCAATCATTAACATAAAGTCACTCCCCCTAAAGTTGTTTATCTTTTTTAAGTTTTTATTGTGACCCACTACAGTTTTTGTCTAATCTTTGGAGTCACTGCTGCCAATTTGATCTCACAAAGGCAAATCTTAAAAGAGCACAATGCTCAATGTATGCATTCTTTACTCATTAAGCTAAATCATTGTTTGATTTTAAAAGGTCTTCTGTGCATATTTTTGGTGTAAGTTTTAAAGACGGTCTCGGGGCAATTGTGTAAGAGATTCATCAAGCCTCCATGGCTCTAGAAAGTCTGTATTCCATGAGAATTTGAAATTCTGTTCTACATTTCTTCCTTTTGATCAGGATTCTTCTCTAAAATCTTTGATCAAAATATTCAGTAATGGTAACCGGGTACCATCCAGCTCTTCTGGTCTCCTGGCAAAGGAAGCAGTTGTTCATGGAGGCAATTAGCCATACATTCTACATTCTCCTGCTAGTCCCGACTCTCCTTCCTCTGCTGCTACATGTAGGCATTTTATTTTTGTTATTTTGTTTTAGGAATTGCCTATACACATCTTTTGCTCACATTTCAAATTGAGAGCATTGGGTTTTTCTTTCTGATTGGCAGGAATTATTTTTACATTAGAGATTTTAGCTATATTTATTGTAAATGTTTTCCTTTTATTTCTCTTTAAACTTTGTGTACAACTTTTCATGTAAAGTTTTTGTTGTTTTTGTGTAGTCAAGTCTATTGATCATTTTCTTAGTGTCATTTGGGCTTACTTCTGAGTCATTCCCTGTCTTGATATCTGACAAATATTCTTCCTTTCTTTTTCATTTAACTCTTATTTATCTGAAGTTAATGTAGGGGCAAGATATGAGGTAAAGGTCTAATTGTACATTTTCCCCACATTGTTGTTTTTTTGTTGTTGTTGTTAAGTGCCATTGAATCGATTCCTACCCATAGCGACCCTGTATAGAGTTTCCGAGGAGCAGTTGGTGAGCTTGAATGGCCGACCTTGCAGTTCAAACAGACTTTGAAGTCTGGTGCATTAACCCAGAGCACCACAGCACCATCAAGTCTTAGCAGTCTTATGCAAAACAGAACGAAACACTGTGCTGTCCTGCACCAACCTCACTTGAGCCCACTGAAGCTGCCATAGTGCTAATCCTTCTGGTTGGGGGGGGGGTGTCTCCATCTTTTTCACTGACCCTTTTACCAAGCATGAGGTCCTTCTCCAGGGACTGGTCCCTCCTGATAATATGTCCAAAGTACAACAATAACAACAACAAATGAGAAACTAAGTTTGGCCATCTTAAGTCTTCCTTGTAGGTGTATGGATATTATCCTGTCACACTGTACTTCAAGATAGATGCTGAAATGTTCTTTTTGATGATGAATGCAATGCCATTTCTCTTCATTTTGTCATTCCCAGCAGAGTAAACCATGTGATTATCAGATTCAAAATTATTAAAACCAGTCCATTTCAGCTCACTGGTATCTATGATATCAGTGTTTATGCATTCCATTTCCTTTTTGGTCAATTCCAATTTTCCTACATTCATACTTCATACAGTTCATGTTCCAATTATTAATGGATGTTTACAGCTATTTCTCCACATTTTGAGTTGTGCCCCATCAGCAAATGAAGGTCCCCAAAACAGTAGTTCTTTCATGTAAAGATCATGAAAGGAGTAAAGGTCAACTCTACCATGAGGAGGCAGCTCTTCCCAGTCACAATTTGAGTGCCCTCCAACCTGAGGGGTTCACCTTCTAGCACTCTATCTGACAATATTCCGGTGTTCTTCATCGTGTTTCAATATTCAATATTCTGGTGCGATCTGACAGTGTTATTCATAAGGTTTTCAGTGACTGAATATTCAGAAGTAGTCCATCTCTTCCTACCTATCTATCTTAGGTTGGAAGCTCATCTGAAACCTGTCTGCCATGGGTGATGCTGCTGGTGTTTAAAATACTCATGGCATAGCTTCCAGCATCATAGCAACACGTAAGTCAACACAGTATGACAAACTGATTATACCTATGGTTTCCCTACATAGGAATAATCAATTGTTCCAGCACCAATTTATCAAGTAAACTTTCCTTTCCCTCTGATTTGTAATTGCCACTTACAGCATACGCTTCCTAAACTAAGACCTGTGTGGTGGACACTGTGAAGTGCCACGTAAATCTCCTTTTAGGAATGAAGAATTTATCAATTAATCCCCAACACACCTCCAGAGTCCTGGTGTGGCGTTGTCAGTTAGTGTGCTAGACTGTAAAGTTGGCTTGGACCGGAAGGCCAGGGGTTCAAGCTCACCAGCTACTGCTCCTTGGAAACCCTATACAGGGTGCCTTTGAGTTGGATGCCGACTTGAGGGCACTTGTAACAGTAAAGTAAGTAACACACTTCCACCCCCACCCAGCTTCTGGTAGTACTGCTGAAAACAACCTCAGCTTTGGGGATTGCCTCCCTAAAGAAAACTGCCTTGCCCAATGGCCTGCTTCCATCCAGGACTGATTCAACAGGTCCCAACTACTTTTTCCCAAAGCAAGTCAATTCTGACTGGTAATTCTAGCCACAAAGACCTTTATTGGAACCTTGCTGCACCTCACATTTCCCTCTATTCAATCTTGCCTCCCTCTTTCCCACAGGTTGTTGACCCCTATCATTCTCTAATAAACAACTTGCATGCTCATTTCCAGAATCTACCTCCCCGGAGACTTAATCCATAGGAGAATGTTTCTGAATTTTTTGTTCCATTAATTAATTGAATATAGCACTGTGTTTTGTTTGTTTGAAAAGCAATTTCATACAACAGAGGTTTTTGTTTTTTTTTTTTCTTTCTTTCGTTTGCACTTTTATCTTTAAAATCTAAAATCTAAGTACATTTTTCTTTTCTTTGTTTTTTTTTTTTAATATAAGGTTTTTATTGTGGCTTGAGTAAAGTTTACTGGGCAGATCATCAGTTTTACACTCAATAAAGCATACACCTTGTTTCATTACAATGATTAAAATCCCCTCCAAGGAGCTCTGGTAGTGTAGTGGTTACGAACTTGGCTGCTAACCTCAAGGTCAGCAGTTTGAAACTACCAGCTATTCCGTGGAAGAAAGATGAGGCTTTCTGCTCCTGTAAAGACTTGCAGCCTTGGAAACCCTGTGCAGGGTCACTATGAGTCAGAACCATGGTTCTTAACAACAACATGTACCATCAGTTACCAATGTTTCTCTCTATTCACTTTAGCTTTTTTTTTTTTTTTTAAACACTCAGGCATATATAATAATTTACACCACCAAAGGTCACATTCTGCAAGTCTGCCTCCTGGCCACCATCTCTTAGTCCCTCACTTCCCATGAATCTAGAGTCCTCAGCTGCTCCCTCTCTCCATGTCCCCATCTCTGCCTCCATCTCTGGTGTCACTGCTTCTCTGGATAAGGTCTCTCATTCCGCTTGTGCTCTTCTCCCTTGATGATCCTAGGGTTCTTTGTTGCTGGACTGTAAGCTTAATCCCCTGTTTTTGTTACAAAACTGCCTCTACAATTGTGACAGTTGCAATTAGTCATGATCATAATTACTCATTAGTGAATCATAAGAATCTTATCCCCATCTCTTTTAACCAGACCCATCTAGGCAAGATGAAAACTATTCATCAGGGACTTTCTTTCCCCAAACACTATTAAACTAAGCTCCCCCCTTGAAACCTTGTAATCAACTTCATGCCTTTATCACCCTCTCATTTTAGGTAGCCTATGTCTGTCTATGTTGTACAGAGGATTTTTTTATTCCTAGTTGTCATCACCTGACTGTTATGTAGTAAACAAAGGTGCCATAACACAAACATATTCACCAATGAACTTACCTATGAAATGAGCCCCCACTCAAAAATCTTCTTTTATTTAAAACTAGCTTTTTTCTTTCCCATGCACTGCAATATAAAGCAATGCCAACACAAATACAATGACAACTTAGAGCAAATTGAAATTGAAAATCTTGTAAAAGAGGCAGAATTTCATGATGACAATAAAGATATTAGATTAACATTTGCATCATTTAAAAAGTCATCAGTCAATAGGGATTTGGTCTAAAACAGCTGAAAATAGAAGATAGAACAATGAAAAAGGTTGACAACACTGTAGGTTCTTCAAAAGAGAATGGCTTCTCTGGAGAATTAAAAGAAACATTAACACCAATATTTCTCAAATTCTTCCAAAAGATAGAAAAGAAGAAAACTCATTTTTCCTACCTCACTTTATGAGGCCAGCATTACCTTGATTCCAAAGCCAGATAAAGATATCACAAGAAAACTACAGACCAGTATAGATGAAAACATCTTCAAAATGCTAACAAACAGAACGTAGCCTCATATTAAGAGAATTATACACCGTGAGCAAAAGAATTTGTTCCAGGAATGCAAGGCTGTTTCAGCATCCCAAACTCAATGTAATACTCAAGCACCGCATTAATAAAATTAACTAATAGAACCCACATGGTCATCTCAATTGGTGCAGAAAAGGCATTTGACAAAATATAACATGATGAAAATACTCAACAGACTAGGAACAGAGGAAACATCCTCAACCCAATAAAGCATATTTATGAAAAACCCATAACTAATGTCATACTTTGGATTCCTGGTGTGGTGCTGTGGGTTAGTGCGCCAGATTGCAAAACCATTTGAACTGCAAAATCAGTAGTTCAAGTTCACCAGCTGCTCCTTGGAAACTCTATACATGGTCGTTATGGGTCAGAATTGACTCAACAGCACTTCACAACACAACAACAATATCATACTTTAAGGAGCTCTGGTAGCGTAGTTGGACTGCTAATCTCACAGTCAGCAGCTGGAAACTATCAGCTGTTCTGCAGGAGAAAGATGAGGCTTTCTGCTCCCATAAAGATTTACAGCCTCAGAAACCCTGTACAGGGTCGCTATGAGTCAGAACAAACTCCACGGCACATAACCACCACCACCACCACCATCAGACTTCATTGTGAAAGATGGAAAGCTCTCTCACTAAGATCAGGAACAAGATTAGAACATCCACTCCCCTCCTGAGTCCCAACTCCCTCCTGTTCTTCATCCCTTCTCTTCTCCCTCTCCTGTCCCTCAATTCTGCCCTGAAGAAGCTTCAGAGTACATCCTTAGCACCCTGTTATCTGCTCCAGGGAAGTCTAAAGTTCAGCACTTTGGGCAATTAAACTCAAGGCCTCTTCCCGGGCTAGAGATGAATGACCAGGGAGTGTTCCTGTGGGAAATGGTTTGAGTAAGCTGAGTCAGCCTGAGTCTTTGTCATGGTTGGGTAGAGGCAATTGACCCTGGGGGGTGGGGGGCAGTGTCAGTACCCTTGCTTTCTTTTGTGCCCTTACTTTCACCTGAAGAATCCTGCCTACCTCACCCTTCTCTCCCTTTGCCTATGGGCTGGAAATTGGGCTCCTGACGCTCTCGGTTCACTGAATTGTTCTGTCCCAAGAATTTGTACTTTAAGAAGGTAAAATAGGGAGAGGGTGCTGCTTGACCCTCAGGAAATATTTTGAGGCATTTTAGGACAAAATTAGGGAGTTTTTTGGTACCACACCTCGGCTTATATCTGTTTACAGCCCAGGGCAGTGACATTTCTCTGCCTTCCTAGAATGGACCCACATAACCCTCTCTAGCTGGCTCATCTCTCTCTCTCAACTGCAACTGAACCTCAAACCCAGTCCCTTCTGTCTTTTCATACCTATCTCTGATTCTTTATCTAACCTCTCTGAGACTCAGTTTCCTCATCAGTAAAATGGGACTAAAGATAACACTTATCTTACATAAGAGTGGTTTGTTGTTATTGTAGGTTGCAACTCATAGTGACTCCATATAGTGTTTCTTTCTCCCATGGAATGACTAGTAGTTTTGAACTGCTGACCTTGAGATTAGCAGCCCAACCATACCTATGCTACCAGAACTCAGCTTATAAGATTTAAATAGGAACTCTGGTAGTGTAGTGAATTATGAGCTGGGCTGTTAACCACAAGTTCAGCAGTTTGAATCTATCAGTCACCCCACTCACGGAAGAAAGATGAGTCTTTGAAGCCCTATTTGTTGTTGTTAAGTGTTGTCCAGTTGGTTATGACTCATAGCGACCCTGTACAGGGTTTCCAAGGAGTAGCTGGTGAGTTTGAACCACCAACCTTGTAGTTCAAACCAACCTTGCCATGCAATGCTTTATCCCACAGTACCACAAGTCCTATAAAGGATCGTTATTGAGTCAGAACCAATTTGACTGTACACAACCACCATTATCATCAGGTTTAAATAAGATAATATACTGCACCTGGCACACCATAATGCTCAGTAGATATTAGTTGCTACTGTTGGTTCTGTTTTATTATTTTATCAACCATGCAACCAAATACTACAGAGCCCTTGGCATGTGTCAGGCCCGGGGCCAGGAAGCTAGGAAGTTGTAATACACTGAGTTTGACCTAAAAGTGCTTTAAATCTACTTGGAGAGAGAAGAAAAACTACCAACCAAAAATGTGTGAATATACACATATCATTTGGCTCCGTCTTTCAAAATCTCTCAAATGCTCAGAATTCTCACTTTTTAACTCTCTCTCTTAATGAAAGTCTTGTTGAATCTTCAGGTCTGGCTGTTTGACTAGAGAAGCTCATCTTCAAGATGTGAGGAACTGATATTTGGGGAACCTTACAGGGGCTCGCCTAGCTTCAATCCAGGCGCCAAGCCAACAAGCCCAGATAGAGCCAGGCCTGGCCCTGCTCATGTCCAGGAGGGGCCACAGGCCGAGCCCTAGTCAGGTTCTCCGAGGTCGTTGACCAGGGCCCATCGTGGGGAGGAGAAAGGACTTCGTCCCCATCCTAGCCCTAGACTGGAAGAGTTTTGTCTTGGGTCCTTAGTAGGGGGTGGAGGGGTGGAGGGGTGAAGGGCTAGGAGGTGGGGGATGCTGGGTTGGGCAGGGCATTTGTCTGAGGGCCGTGGGAGGGACCGTGCCTAGGGTCGGGGAGGAGTCTGAACTAGGGAGCTCAGCCAGCAGAGAGGATCAAATTCCTCTGCTGTGAACTCTGAGACCGAAAGTTTTTCCGCGCTGGGGAGCCAGAGGGAAAGACCTGCCACTCAACCTATCCACAGCCTTCCGGGGAGAGGTGGCTGCTGCCTCCGCCGACACCTGCCCGCCGGCCACCTCGCCCTTCGGAGCCTGCCTCTAAAGCAAGGAGATCATGGAGCTAGACAGGATCCCCATAAAACTTGACCCCAGGTGAGTGAGGGCTCTGGGGCCCCGGGTCTGGAGCCAGTTGCTAAGCAACGGAGGCCCTATATTGTTTCCACTTCCCTCCCAGCACCTAGAATAAGACTGGACTGAAAATGGATGAGACTAGGTTGGCTGTCCCCTAGGCCCTCGGGGACATTTGGGGTTGGGCCAATATGACACTTCAGATTCTTCACGTTGCCTCTGGATTGGGGATATAGAAATATCCCAGAGCTGGGGGGACGTTCCAGGGCACCCAAGGCATTTCCTGAGGAATCCTAGCCACTGCTCCCAGGCTAAGCACAAGGGCCCAGACCAGCTGGGAATCCATCCCCAGTACTAAAGGGCTAGTGCTGGGAGGCTTGCTTTGGACCCTGCTCTTTCGTCCCAGCTGCCCCCTGGAAAGGAAGAGGATTCACTGCTTCAGCCAGACCTGCCCCTGGCCTAGGTGGCAGCCTGCATTCCACACTGGCCTAAGTCAATTCTCCACTCCCTGGGCCCCAGCTTGGCTCTAACAAGGCCCTGAGGAGGAATGGACAAACCCCCTGAACCCAGTGGTTTTTGAGCGTGTCAATAACAGGTGTCTCTTCCATTCCACTCGGGGCCCCCAGGCTCCACAATTCTGAACATAGGCTGGTGTCTCCCCAGGTATACGACGGAGCTTCTGGAGCTACTAGAAACCAATTACAGCATCCACTCTGCCTGCTTCTCTCACCCTCCCACTGCATCCCAGCTCCTGCGAGGTGAGTCAGAGGTACTCCCCAGAGGGAACTGAGAGAAGAGACAAATTCCAGAGGGAAGTCAGGACAGATCTGGGGGAGCTAGGAGAAGTGGTCCTGAGGCTGGGCAGCCTAGAGATCCCGGAGAGAATGCTGTCCCAGTGTTCTTGGCTAAGGCCTTGAAGAAAAGCAACTCCTCAAGGAGTTAGTAGCCAGCAGGGGGCCAGGACAACTTAGTGCAGGAGACAAATCCACAGTTGGATTTCCACAAACTTCAGCCTCTAGGTTTATTCAAATTGTCGAAACTGCAGCCAGGGACATTTTTCAGACCCCATGGCAATCCAGGGACTAAAACCACCTCTTAAGATGATGTCCAAATGATTCGGGTTCCACAAGGTACTTTGGGTGGAGGCACTCCACAAGACCCTTCTTTGGAAAGAACCTCTATCATTCCAGAGCACTGGTGTTTTTTGAGTGCTGTTTTTGTTGTTAAGTGCCATCGAATTGGTTTTGACTCATAGTGACCCTGTCTAGGGTTTTCAAGGACTGGTTGGTAAGCTTGAACCACCCACCCCGCAGTTCAAACTGACTTTGAAGTCCAGCACATTAACCTACAGCACCACAACAGGACTCCATTTTATGAGTAAAAGTCTTAAAACTTAGGTGAAACTATAAAAATGTTCTTAACAGTGTTGGCCAACTAGATCCTATTACTTTTGACTTAAGTTGTTTTCTCCAGTGAGAGGAATACAATGGGACTGAATTTATTTCCTGGACACTTAAGATGCAGACAACCAAATGGCCCTGGTATCTTGATAGCAGATGTGGCACACGTCTTTTGTTTTCTAACTGCATGACTTTCTACCATTAAGATGTGATGGATAGGAGTCTGTGTTTCTGTGTATCCTTCATGCTTTTCCAGCATCCTTCCTGAATGTGTCCCCTCATGGAGTAGATGGTTTCCAGACATTAGGAAGCAGACATGGGTCCTGTCCTTGGATTATCTTCAGCCTCATTCCAGATGCTCTTGTCCACAGGAATTATTAACTGCCAGAGAGTGTCCAGAAATGCCTGGTAGCCTCTGTGAATTAGGAATAGCAGGCACCTGCCACAGCCAGCCTCAGTAACCTACTGCTCAGTCTGCAGCTGGTAGCACATGTCTTCCCTTACACCAGTTTTGTTCCCCAGGGGAGATTTGGCAATGTCTGGAAACAGTTTTGGTTGTCACAACTGGGAAGGCATGCTAGCTTCTAGCGGGTAGAGGCCAGGGTCACAGCTAACCATCCTGCAATGCACAAGTCAGTCCCCTACAACAATGAATTATCCAGGTCAAAGTGTGAGTATTTCCCAAGGTTGAGAAACCCTGCCTTATATAGTGAAAATTAGGCTCACATTGCTTTGCTGAAAAATGTGCAAATAAAAGTGACCAGGATGCTCAAAGGAGGAAGACCACCGTTAATGGGTTTGGAGTTGGGTGAGGTACCTTGTTGCAGGTGGAGCTATTAGAGCAGGTAGGATTGAAGGGTAGAGGATGAACGGTGGGCACTCCTGGGGTGGGGATGGAGATGGAATTCCCCAAGATAGTGAGGAACTATAACTCAACCCATTCAAGGTTACTGGGGTGGGGGAGAGCAGGGACAATTGAGTGGGTGGGGCCTGATGAGTGTCAGGCAGGCGTTGTACTTTATCCCACAGACACTGAGAGGTTGGGAGGGGCTGGACGGAAGTGGTGTTTCCGGACTATTAACCAGTAATCAGATGGACTTCGTGAAGAAGAGCCTTGAGAAGCAGGAATATAGACTAGAGGTGATTGCCCCAGCCCAGCATGAGGAACAAGGCAGTGACAGGGAAAGGGATGGAAGGGGTAGCAAACAGAGTCTGCCAAAGAAAGAGCAAGTGAAATTTGGCTAGTCATGGTAAGTGAAGGAAAAAGAGATGCTCGTGAGCGCCCTGAGGATTTGGGATGGGCAGAAATGAGAATTAGGAAGGAGGTGCTGTTGGAGGAGATGGCGAGCCCCATCCCACAACCCTTCTCATTCGTAAACTCTGCTGTTCCTTAAGTTGGATGATATTTACAAAAGTGTTGTTCTGAGCACTAGTGGAATGTGGAACCCTATCCTGAGAAGCAGTGACACCAGAGGTGGAGGCAGAGATGAGGACATGGAGAGAGGGAGCAGCTGAGGACTCCAGACTCATGGAAAGAGAAAGGCTGTGTGCTGGAGGCTAGGAGGCAGGCTTGCAGACTGTGCCATTTGGTTGTTTAAATGATGATATATTCCTGAATGTTTTTGTGTACATCAAAACCAAACAAACAAACAAACAAACCAGAGGGAATAGAAGCAAATACTGTTGAATGATGATACACTGAGGAGATTGTAATCATTGCAATAAAATGATGAGTGTAAAACCGATGTTCTCCCATATAAACTATCAGTCAATCCACACTAAAAACTTTAAAAAAAAAAAAAAAAAAAGAATAGCAGGCTTTAATTAGCATGTAGAATAAACTATCTAATGGGGGAAAAAAGTGTTCTTCTGGAAGAACTAGTGGATTTTTTGCTAATTAGTTTTTGAGATGCTTGTAATGTGATTGCAACCAAAATTCCTACAGGAATTTTGTTTTTAAATGATTGATCTAAGATTTTTCATGGAAGAGTGAAGGGCTGAGAAAACCAAGAGAGTATTGAAAAAATGTGTCTTAGTTCTCTAGTGCTGGTATAACAGAAATGCCACAAGTTGATGGCTTTAGCAAACAGAAATTTCTTCTCTTACAGTTTGTTGTTGTTAAGTGCTGTCGAGTCGTCTCGGACCCACAGTGATCCTGTATAGGGTTTCCAAGGAGCTGCTGGTGAGCTTGACCCTCCGGCCTTGCAGTTCAAATAGACTTTGCAGTCTAACTCAATAACCCACAGCACCACACCAAGACTCCTAAATTCAGAGTGCTGGCTCTAGGGCAGGAGTGGGGAATGTCCCCTGCCTGAGGGCCGCTGTATGGCTGGCTAGCTATATACCGTGGAGTCATTTCCGACTCATAGCGACCCTGTACAAGGTTTTCAAAGCTGGAAATCTTTATGGGAGCAGAATGCCTCATCTTTCTCCCACAGAACAGCTGGTAGTTTCGAACTGCTGACCTTGTGGTTCGCAGCCCGATTCGTAACCACTATGCTACCAGAACTCCTTGAGGGCCACTGTATAAGACCTGAGAAATCATTTGGCCTGGCTCTGTCAAGGCAGCTTCACTTCCTGCCATCACACTGTCGTTGTTAAGTGTGATCAAGTTGATTTTGACCCATAGCGACCCTGCAGGGTTTCCAAGAAACAGCTGGTGGGTTTGAACCACTGACTTTGCAGTTCAAAGTGACCTTGTGGTCCAGCGCATTATCCTACAGCATCACCCTAGGACTCCATCACTTTCCTGCTGCTAAGTGCTTTCAAGTCAGTTTCGACTTATAGTGACCCTGTATAGGGTTTCTGAGGAGCGGCTGGTGGGTTTGAACCTCTGACTTTGTGGCTCAAACTGACCTTGCAGTCCAGCATATATAGGGATGATTTAATTAAATATAGCAGGCTAATGTTCAAGTTGATAATTTTGTATGGCCCTTGAATGATGTTATAAATTTTGACAGAAAAAGGTTATCTCTTTATCTGCTCTGGAAACAGGTCCTTGTCTCCTTTCAGTATCTGTGGGTCCAGTAGTCCTTGGAGATCCCCATGTCTCTGGGCATCAACTTTTCCCTGGGTCTAGAAAAATCAAAGAGCACAGCCTTCGATATGGATTACATCTCAATGTCAAGAAAACAAAAATCCTCACCACTGGACCAATAAACAACATTCTTATCAACGAAGAAAAGATTGAAGTTGTCAAGGATTTCATTCTTCTTGGAAGCAGCAGTCAAGAGATCAGACGACGTATTGCATTGGGCAAACCTGCTGCACAGAACTTTTTAAAGTGTTGAAGAGCAAAGATGTCAGCTTGAGGACTAAGGTGCGCCTGACCCAAGCCATAGTATTTTCAATAACCTCATATGCATGCAAAAGCTGGATATTGAATAAGGAAGATCGTAAAAGAATTGATGCCTTTGAATTATGGTGTTGGAGGAGAATACTAAAAGTGCCAAAAGAACCAATAGATCTGTGTTGGAAGAAGTGCAGCCAGAGTGCTCCTTAGAGGCCAAGATGGCCAAACTTCGTTTCTCATACTTTGGACATATTGTCAGGAGGGAACAGTCGCTAGAAAAGGATATCATGCTTGGTAAGGTGAAGGGTCAGAGAAAAAGAGGAAGACCCCCAACGAGATGGATTGACCAGGTGGCAGCATCAATGGACTCAAGTATGGCAACAGTAGTGAGGTTGGCCCAGGATCGGACATTGTTTCATTCTGCTGTGCATAAGGTCGCTATGAGTCCGTGCTGACTCAATGGCTCCTAACAACAACAACAACAACAACAACAACAACAGGAGATTCTCAGCCCAGGATCCCAGATCCAAAAGATAGCACTCTGCACCCAGCTCTTCTTTCTTGGTTGTAGTAGGTCCCTCTTTCTCTGCTCACTTCTCATTTCACATTCAAATGAGAAGTGAGAAAGCTATCAGGCTTAGTACAGTGGAGGGCTGGAGAAAAAGAGGAAGACCCCAGTGAGACAGATTGGCACAATGGCAGCAGCAATGGACTCAAATGTAGCAACGATTGTGAGGTGGGCACAGGACCAGGCAGTGTTTCTGTTTCAGTTGTACATAGTGTCGCTATGAGTCAGACCGATGGCGCCTAGCAACTACAATCCTGTCGATGGCCTCTGGCCTCATTAACATCATACGAGCGAGGATTTACAACACAGGATAATTACATCAGATTAGGACTGCTCATCTCATGGGGATGATTGCATTATATTAGATTTTTATCAAGGGGGAGCCACTGAGAGTCTAGACTCAGCCATAAAGTTCAGGAGGGATCCTGCCCTACCAGGGATTGCTGCTGTTGTTAGTGCTGTCAAGTCGGTTCTGACTCATAGCGACTCTAGGAGCAG